TAAGTTCATCGTATATAATGCTGTAGTTAAAAAAAATTCCTCTTTTTTCTTATTTTTTATTTTTATTTTTATTTTTCAAAACATGAATGAACCAAGCACACAAAAATTTAAAAAAAAAAAAAAAAAAAAAAACCTCAACACACAAATCAATATGTGTGTGTGTGTGTGTGTGCGCGTGCGCGCGCGCGCGCCAATACAAACTGATGAAGATGAATGCATTAATGAATGAAACACAAAGAGTAAGCATGAATATTTGAAATACCTAATCAGTTAGGTATACAAACGTTCTTACCTTGAAGGCGTCGTGATCTATTTCCAGAATTTTCAGATCATGCTTTTTCACCCAGACCTACCTAGTAGAGGAATTAATCCTAGTCAACTGTGTCACTAACTCGGTCAATTGAATCACCTGATTAGTAAGAAAGTCAATTCGGTTATCAAAATCTTGATTTTTATTTCTGTTTAGAAATTTATGATACCTAAGCCTTATATATCCTAATTCTCCATAGTTGAAACAAGTGTGGACAAACATAGGACTAAAGTTATATGTTCGCTGATTTCTATTCCTAGGTTGGTCCATGTTCTACAATTCCCTTATTCTTGGGTTCAGGGTTAGGAATATATATAGATTGGTCAGTGGCAGGGACAAAGATGGTCTTGGAAATACTAGCAACATTGTAATCATTCTCTTTATATTCTAGACCTCCCTTATTATCAGCAGTCTTATCCATTTCTAAGATGTTATCAAGCTTTATTGAACCATTGGAAAATGTAAGGAGTGAGTGTTGGAATCCTCAAGATCACTCATAATGATCTTAACCTTATTTTCTAACGACTCATTCACAGCGCTCAACTCACCCAGTCTCCCAGACGACTTCTCAAGATCACTCATAAAATTCTAAACCTGAGTATCTAAAGATTCATTCACAGATTTCAACTTACTCAAGGATAAGGTAGATTCTCGAAGGTCAGCTAATAGTTTTTCTTTCTCTAGCTCAAGTTCTTTAACCTTCTTACATAAGTCTTTATTGTTAGTTAATATCATAAGGCTCTTCTCATATAATTTATCATAAACCTTATATATGTCTTCCTCATCTTCAGAATTCTCCTCATATTGCTCACCACTATCTGCATCATCAAGCTTCTTACTCTCCTTATTAGATTCACTTATAATCCTAGCAGTGAAGTCCATATATTTTCGTTTCTCATCCTGAGTGGACTTCTCTCTTTGATTATCAAAGGTAAACTAGTCATCAATGAAAATAATGTTCATAGTATTATTCCTATTTCTCTTACTATTTATTAGGACACTCACTTCAAAAATGGCTAAAACCTTGACACTTATAACATCTAACAAATTGAGGTATTTTTGTAGATTATTGGGAGCACCTCCGTGCCTCTCTTGAGGCGTCTTCATATTTCTAAACATTTTCCTAAAATTCTGAGCAAAATAGGCTAACTCCTCATCATTAGATAACTCCAAATTAGAAGACTCATTTTGATTATCCCTAACTGTGTTCAAGGCCAAAGACATATCTTTAGTAAGTTTAACTAAGATAAGTTCGTACGTCGGGAGAGATCCAACCAACTCTTCCACCTCTATAGCATTTAAGTTCTTACTCTCCTCTATAGCTGTGATCTTAGGCCTAAATCTCTCATGTAAAGATCTAAGTTTTTTTCTAACAATCTTAGGTTCAAGGATTCTCTTACATAGGTTGAAGCTAGAGTTTAAAATAACATTCAAGTCTTATTATCCTTCATCCTAATTTCTTTAAACCCAGTGGTCGAAATTTGTAACTTAAAATTCTTAACGGCGTGGGTTCCCTCATATATGATATGTAAAATATCCCAAACTTCTTTCGCAAATTCACGCATAAACACATGCCTAAATTTTCTGGTAACACGATCATAAATAAGGCATGTAAAGCTTTACTAACCCAATTGTACTCATTTAAATTTGTTTTCGACCAATTTGCTATAGGAGTGGAGATGACAACACCATTAACAATGTTAGAGAAAGCAGACCAACCATTTACTACACTCATCCATAGATTTTAGGAAAGCTCTTATTCTAACTTTCCAATACACGTAGTTACTGCCATCTAAATATGACAGGACGGATAATAACTAACTCATCTAATAGAGTCAAGAGATCAACTTTGGGCTTTGAAACAACTTGAAAGTTACTAATTCGACCCTAAAATCACCTAATGGGAATAAGTAGGTAAAAACCACGAAATTAAAATTATCGATTAAAAGTAACAAGTCACTTTTTAATTATTTTTAGATGGTTAACCAAACAAGTCAAATTATCCTATGTTGAACTGCCACGGTTTATAATATAAAAGCAATGAACAACACAACAATTGTCAATGGAGAAACTTAACTGGGGATGGCAGCTCGGCTCGGCTCAGCCCTTTAATCCACGAGCTAGGCTCGTTGCTCGTGGGCGAGCTCGACTCGGCCCACGAGCTCGAGTGTCGAGTCAAGCCGAGCCCACGAGCCGCTCACGAGCTCATATTTTTTTTATTTTCTTTTTTTTTTGCACATTTTTTGCACCTTTCTTTGAAAAACTTCAATTTTTTGGACGAGCCCACTAGCTCGGCTCGTGGGCTCACCGCTCGTGGGATCAAGCCCCCTGCTCGGCATGGGCTCGGGCTCGTCATTTGACGAGCTCGAGCCGCTCGACCCGTTTGATATCCCTAAACTCAACTACGTAAAAATTTCTGGACCAAGCCAATAACCTCCACTATAAAAAATAAAAAATGATAAATTTATAGTATGATCCAATTTAGAAAATTTCACTAGACTCGCTAATCTACTTGCTGCAATCTCCAAAACCTTCTCAAACGTGTTTTACTCGCACCTGTTCTCGATCCTTTGCATTGTTTATCTTCTGTGGATCATCAAAAACACCTCTTTTTTTAATTCTTCCAGTATTTTTGGTCCAACCTCCCTCAATTCTTCAACCACCTCTACATGTTCTTAAAAAAAATGTCTTCTGGTGTTATCCTTTAAATTATGCGATCTTGATGTTTTTACGAAATTGTGGTTCATAAATCTTAAAATGTAAAAGATGAAGAGTAGTTGTTTTTCTCTCAAAAAAATGTTATGAATAAAGAGTATAATGATTGACTGCACAAATTTCGTATTTAGGGTTTGGTATATATAATAGAATGCAATTAAGCCCCTGTTTTATGCCCATTACCTGAAAATGAAAATGGGGGGAATAGTATTTTTTAGAAAAATGAGTGGTTGAAAAAGAAGGAAAAATTTTCTATTTACGTGTAATATTATTTTATGGAAGATTGTGTGGTTGAAAATATGAAAGAGAAAAATGGAATGTAATGTAATGTAATTTAATTTAACGAGGATCAAACAGGGCCTAAGTATCACAGGTGACAGGCCGAATATAATTCTTGAAAAACGCAAATTAGAATTTCACACGTAACACCGCTGCTCGAACGAGAGCTCAATGATAGGCGAGCAACAATTTGTCCCTCGAGCAAGAGCACAACGACAAGCAAACTATAGTCTCTATTTCAATCACTCGAGCATGATATGAACAATAAGCTAGCAAAAATCCAACAACTCTATTTCTTCCTTATTCCAAACTTGAATGCTAACTTACCCAATTCATCTACACAATATTGTGATATACTTCTAACTTCTATAACTTTTCATTTTAATCCTTTTTATCTAAAAAAATTGTCAATACAATAGAGCCTGTTGATTTCAAGGTAAAACGTAAATACAAATTCATTATAGCAACTGATAATGATTACCCACCCACACCACTACTGATTCAACGATCCAAAGATCAACAGAAAATCCGCAAGGAAATCCAATGACAGCACGTAACAACGATGTGCCAGCAAATGGGCCGAACCCCAACGTATTACATATTCTCCGATTGCAATGATTTTAATAAGCTAAAATGCATTTTTGAGGCCTAAAACCCACTTTTAACTTATTTGACTAATTTTATAAAAACATTTCAACTTCAAAGAACTTTCAACCCCCATTTGTTTTTCATTATTTGCTGTTAAAATAAAAAAATATAACAATTATCCATTATATTAAATTACCATATTTGACTTTCTATTTCCATGAAACTCGTAACAATTATATTGGAAATTGCTGGTGGCAACAAAACCCCACGTGGGCTTTGTGTCAGGGTAGTGGTCAACCTCCAATTATACTTTTCATTTTCTTTTTTTTTTGATATCCAGATATCCCAGTTTACACCAAATTAAATCCTGAACCTCCAAAACCCTTACCCCTACAACCTTGGAGGTGGTAAATTGCGAGTTATGCCTCAACTGGATCACAAATTTCCCCCATTATCTGTACACTTCTGCGCACAATAGACCCTCCTCCACCTTCCTCCTTGATACGCTAATAAATCTTGGTAAAAGAAAGATGTAATAGTTTCCATTCACTAGTAATTTTCTTTTTTTTTCTTTTTTTTTTTGTTGACAAGAAAACCCACAACCGCTATCCAAAGGTGCACACTAGGTAAACCCGACCTTGTAATCTTAGCAAACAAAAGACCACAAGAAGGTAAACCAACCTAAATTACCCATAACTGATCAACTCAAACCAAGAAAGCCAATAAACAGTTCCAACAAAAATCTAACTAACAACCTCACAATTGCTAGTCCAACTACCCAACCTACTAGACTGGAGTTGCCCCCTATTCACTAGTGATTTCTCTGTTATGTGAAGTTGTGTATCAATGTTTTTGAGGACCATGCCTCTACTTTTCATTTTCATTTTTACATTAGCGAGACATTAATGAAAGTTTTCTAATATAAATTTCTCTAAAAACACTTTTAAATGAAGAACCATTTAAAAAATTAACTTTCAAACAAAATTAAAATAACTTGCTTCAAAAGTGAGAGAAGCACGCAGGCAAAAATCATACCAAATTAACCCTCAATAAAACAAATCAGTGCACAACAAAACTTGGCAAAATATTATAATAAAATTACGAGGCATTAATAAATAACCAAAACCTAACCAACATCATCATTAAAGTAGTGCATCATAATTCACAAAATATCAGATACATAGCCGAATTACTAGCTGCTTCCGATGCAAGCTAATATCGTTTCACTTTCTTGATCTAAAGGAAAAAAGAGGTCTACTATTTATAAAGGGTAGATGTAGACAATAGTAAAAAGAAAATGTTAATTTCAGTTTCTTCAATTAATCCAACCATCTCTCTACTCGTCGTCGTCATCTTCGTCCTGCAATTTCAGAAATCAACCAAATTAATATTTATAATTAAATGGAAGGATTTAATGATTAAAATTAACTAATCAGTTGCAGACTTCTCCACTTCCGTCCTCGTCATCATCGTCCTCGTCATTCACTTCGGATTTGGACTTGTCTGATTCCTCTTCTTCAGCTCCAGCTCCTTCAGCCTGTTATGACATTTTCTTCATTTTAAGCATGTTTGAGAAATTGCATGGAACTCGTTTATTTATGTACATAAAAAAAATTACCGTTTTCTTATTGTAATCCTCGAGGGTTTTTTCGTACTCAGCCTTCCTTTTTTCAGCCTTAGCGACATAGGGAGCTTTCTCCTATATTTTAAATTTAATCAAAATCCGCCAAAAGAATTCTAGAATCATAAAGAGGTGAAAAGAGAAAATTTCAATAAGAAATGGGAGAATATGCTTACAGCCTCTGACAAGGATTTCCACTTGTCACCACCTGCTTTTCCAACCTACACAATATAAGGAACGTTAATATGGGACAAATTGTAGAAAAATCGATAATACTGAAAAATATATTCAAAACAACTTGAGCAAAGTTTTTGGATCCGAGTACAAGATAAAATACTTACAGCGGCCACCGATTTGTTGTTGGGGTGCTTCTCTTTGTATTGTTTCCTGAAGTCCTCCCTAACATGGATCCAAAATAATTTAATTAAGAATCTATATATATGTGAGAGATTTGCAACGGGGAGGTAGAGAGCAGAGGTCGTACATGAAAACAAAGAAGGCACTAGCGGGCCTCTTTGGCTTGTTTGGGTCCTTCGCAGGCTTGCCCTTTGGTGCCGCCTTCTTCCCGGCTGCTGCACCTTTTTTCACAGACAACCTAACGGATTCAAAAGTAATCCATTTTTTAGAGAATTCAACGAACAAAATATGCCGAATCAATAGAGCTCACAGATCTGAAAAAAAAAAAAAAAAGTAACAGTAAAAGGCTAAAAACCGCACTTGCTGTCAGTCTTCCTGACAACAGCCTTGGATCTACCTCCTTTCATGGTGTAACCTGTCAAAAATCAGCGAAAACCGGTAAGAATCGGTGCGAATTGGTGGAGAATCGGCGCAGCTCCCGGTTATAACACCTCACCTCGTCTAGAGAGAGAAAATAATAGCTCTAATACAAAGAGATATGCTTTGCTTTGTTAAGTATATGTATGAAAGTGAGTGGAAGGATAAGAAGCAAGGGGTTTGTAAGGAAAGAGCTTAAAAATTGAATCACAGAAAAAATTGAAGTCCGGGTTTGGGCGGGATCTAAATTTCCCTTTGCCAGATCATCAATCTGTGTACTCATTATTCATTGGCTGAAAATCCATTCCCACTGCATGTTACCTCCCATCTCTTGGCTCTGTGTTTTCTCTGTGTTTGTTTGGGGAGCCTTCTGGGCCGTTGGATGTGTAGCAGCGGAATAGTGAAGACACGTGGCTGAATCAATGGGTTTGAAGGGTTTTGAGTTATTGACCTATTGGTGTGGTCTAATGACGAATTTGCCTTTTTATGACGTTTTGGGGGCATAAGCATCAATCGCTGTATTCCTTTATTAAATAAATCACGTTAAACATGGCATGATTGAGATATGCCTTGTGAGCTGTAAGGCTTATTATGTAATTACACATGTTCCGGCCCTTTTGGCTTATGTTTCCTTTCTTTTATTATATTATTTATATATTTGTTCGTTAAGATTAATATTCCCAAGTTCCTAAATCTTGATAAAATTCTACTAAATCATTTTAATCAAAAAATTATTTCTACTATGATCATATCAACACATGTTATAGACTACTTCTTTCATTACTTTTATCACACTCTCTCGGGATATATTCAAGAGGACAAATAATTGGAATTAAAATTCTCATAAACGATGCCCACGTAAGTTACACTTGTTGTCAAAAAGTACTTCACACAAATGCTTTCATTCACAGAATCTACACATATTTTATTACCTTCTAACACCAATTTTACCATCCCAAACTATCATTTCAGGTGATCTAGGAATTGCGTTATACCTATTGATTTTTCAATTGTCAATCAACCTACGTCCAAATTTGTTTTATTGACCATGGCACATAAAAAGTATAAAATCTTTCAAAATAGTCCAAGTCTCATAATCTATTAGCAATTCATGAAGCAAAAGTAAATCCAATAATATTATCATTAGTCGGTAAGGTTATCCAACTCTTACAAGCATATAATAGAATAATTAAATATATTTTATCAAAATTTAAAAAAAAAAAAATACAATATGTTTGCTCTTTTCATATATGTTCCTTTTGGTCGAACTCAATGTTCCAAGGAGATTTCATGTTCGCCTTTCTGGTATCACCTTAGCTGATTGTCCAATGTGATTTTCCAATTTTTATTATGAGGCCTTGACTTAGGAAATTTGTCTCAATCTTTTACATGGACCAGGTTGTAGCCTTTGCTATTTTATGTTGGAGAAATTGTTACCGTAAAATATCCCGATATTTCATGTTGGATTATCGAGAAATTCAAAAATTATAGAGGAAGCGTACCTTAATCATACATGGTTAATGCAATAATTGAATCTTGCGGTTTAGTCTTTCAAATCAACATACAACCCTTAATTCTCTCTGGTGATGAGAGGCATGACGAATGAGCAATCTCATGTGTTTTGGGGACCATAACTGTTTGATCTAATTCGACCCATCATAGAATTAGGAACCTGGGCACGATCTTTACACAAAAAAGACTCACACTTTAATTGGATGCATTAAAGCCCAAAATACTGGAACGTTATTAGATCACTTTTAAATGAGTTTAACCAAATTTGATAGCTTTTAATTTAATACACGATAATTTACACATATAAGCCCACATGATCATTTGAAATTCCTCACATTTTACACAATGCTTCTTTCCATGGAGCTTCCTTCTCTTGATGTTGAAAATTCGATGACTTATTATGAGGTGGTGAGTTTCTGAGGTGATTGTGCATTGCCCAAGATAAGTTCAAATGATTCCCCTAACTCAGATTGTATGTGTTGACGTAATGGTTATTCTATTGTCTCTTATAGTTTTTCATATTGTGTGCTAAAAACTATTGTAATCTCATTGTTATGTTGGTCTGTGCTCTGAAATTTGCTTGACCTTCCTTGTGATTGCAATGGCTTTGCCTTGCGATTGCATGGCTTAACATCTTCTATTTTATGCACTTGGATCCTTGATTTCTTTTTTTTGTTATCATAGATTTTCTTTTGTACTTTGTCTTGGTCCTTCAGCTTCTAAGTTCACCTAATTTGACCCATGCAATGTTAAATTATTGTTCCTTGGTCTAAATCAACTTGTGAAAATTTATAATTTAGTCCCCCAAACTTTACAATCCTTCCTTTTTGCCCTTCCTTGATCAGTTTTTAATATTTTTTCATCAAAACTAGTGTGGGGAATGTTCGTTGCGCATTAGTTAGTTAATTTTAAAAGTAAGTGTCTGTAAATTTTCGAAAAATTCATTTGTAAACATAAAAGATATTCATGAGTTGTTTAAAAAAAGAAAGAAAAGAACATGTTTTGGTTATAAAAGAATAAATGATTGAGGTAAGAACTAAAATTAATCAATGAAAAAATAAATGATTACTACATAATAAAAAATAATGTATTAGATTCAATAAGAAACACAGTCGATACTAAATTTGTTGTTATTTACCTGCTTGGCATCCTCTTTTTAGTAACACACATTTCCAGCTATCCTGATGCATTCCATATCTTTGACACGTAGTATGCAATTAGACTTGTCAATAACATTCATCAAGATAGCTTTCAAGTACGACGTAATCGCATCATTATATTTCTAGAATTGCTTCTATAAATAAAATTTAACAGACTCAATACACAAGTAAAACAAAATAAAAATAACATTTAACAATTACGTAATCGTGTAATTGATGTGAATTGGTAACGAAAGCTAAAACACTTAGGACACCATTTTGCATTATTTGTTTGGAGTTGCGAAATTTATATAACAAAAGCAAATTACTGGAGAAATATGGTTGGTCGTTCTAATGCATAAGTATAAACTTCCATACATATTTATACAAAAATATTTTATCTTTTTCCTCGGTTGTACCTTAGAAGTAGAAGTAATTTGTATACTATTTCATCTAAGTAAAGCGTTAATTTTTCTAGTATGTAATTTTCACTGAAACTAAGAACAGTTGATGCTGCATGTGCATGCAAAATAGCACCTAATAATTTGGCTTTCGAATATTTATTATTAATCATTTATGATTAATCCATGGCATTACTCTAGGTACCACCATTAAAGTATGGCTGTATATAGATTTGAATTTACCAAATTTGATCACTTTCTACTGTTAAGATTTGGGGTCCATCTTAATAAGGTCAACCTTATTAAGAGGAGTGATCCAAGATCTATTTAAATTGATCAATATTTCGGTATTTAACCGATGTGGGATTTATTCCCTTAACATGCCCCAGCAAGATGGTGGCTCTTTTTGAGTAAACCAATCTTGAAATTCGTGTGCTCATTTTTTAGACTTATAAATCGGATCGAATAGCTCGTTGAAGCTTATTGGGCTCTGATACCATAAAGAATAACAAATGATAAAGAAGGACAGATGTTCTGCTGTAAGAAAAATACTTTGTGTATTACAATTGTTTGGCTTTTGTACACAAATTGCAATGAGGACAGCAAGCTATATATATACATAAACCAAAAAAAGCTATACTAGGAAGCCTATTAATAGTGAATCAATATACAAGGAATAGCAGCAAATTTACAGCAATCGTGTCCATGATTTGTGGCTGTAGACTGGTTGATTATCCATGATTTTAGAGCTAAGATTAACAGTCCATGATTTGCTCCTGTAGATTGGTAGTGTGACCAAGATTATAGGGCTAAGATCAAGGATCCTTTTCACCCCCCCGCAAGACGGTGCTTCCATCGGCAACACCGATCTTGGTGCGAAGCTCTTGAAAGCGAGTCTTTGAAAGAGCCTTCGTCATGAAATCCACAAATTGATCACGGGTAGATATATGAGATACATTGAGCAGGCCTTTGTTAACATAGTCCCGAACAAAATGAATATCAATGGCAATATGCTTCATGCGAGAATGTTGAATAGGATTTAAGCTGAGCTGAGTGGCACCAATATTGTCACAGTATAATTTTGGTACAACAGGGAGAGTCACCTGTAGTTCTTGAAAGAGGGAAGTGAGCCATGCTATTTTCGAAGCAGTAGTCGTAAGAGCACGATATTCAGCTTTGGTGGAGGAGCGCGCAACAGCGCGCTATTTTCGTGTGCTCCAGGATATAGGATTGTTGCCAAGATAAATGATGTAGGCTGAAGTAGAAGTTCGGTCATCCATATTGCCTACCCAATTAGCATCGAAATATGCAGTGAGATGAAGACCTTTAGTTTTGCGAAGCCGTAGACCATGATAAAGAGTCGCTTTGAGGTATCGCAATAACCATTTAGCTGCTGTCCAATGTGTCACCGTTGGTCTATGCATAAACTGAGCAAGGCAAGAAATCGGGAAAGCAATATCAGGTCTCGTAAGAGATAGATATTGAAGTGAACCAATAATTCGACGATACTCCATGCAATCAACAGAGGTTGTGCCATCATCCAGGCGGAGAACATCAGAGGTAGACATTGGGGTCAAAACCTCTTTCGCATTGTCAAGGCCTGTTTTAGAGAGTAATTCCCTAATATACTTATGCTGAGATAAAAATATACCGTCTGTGGTGGAGATAACTTCAACACCCCAAAAGAAACTTAATGGGCCAAGATCTTTGAGAGAGAAGGCCTTGCCCAAAGAAGTGACAACCTGCTGGATAAAAGTGCTGGAATTTCCTGTGAGAATGAGATCATCCACATAAATGAGAAAATATGCAGTTAGATCATCCATATGATATATAAATAAGGAGGAGTCGGCTTTAGATTGAGAAAACCCCATTTTTGTGAGACAATCACTTAATGCATGATACCAAGCCCGCGGGGCTTGGAAAAGCAATTTGATCATCCAATTAAAAATTTCTACTCAGATAATGGTGGTGAATATATCAAGTTACAGACATATTTTCTAAATCATGGGATCAACCACCTTACCACTCCACCTCACACACCCCAACATAATGGCATCTCAGAGAGACGACATCGACATATTGTTGAAATCGGAATGACCCTCCTTACGCAAGCTGCCTTACCTACTACATATTGGCTTTATGCTTTTCAAACAGCTGTGTACCTCATCAATAG